GGGCACAAGCAGTCCATCTGGTTCCCATGGGGACTCTCTCCCATGCTGGCTGCACCAGCTCCCCTGGGCGGTGACAGCCCAGGCACTTCCACACCCTCCAGTGGAGAAGAAAACCCGCCTGAGCCAGGAGCAAGGAGAGGCTTTTGGTTTTAGTCTCAGACTTGCTTTGAAGGAATCTCTGGTAAGGACAGACCTGTAGTGGCACCTGACTGTCCCCATGGTGGGTGTTTTTTTTTTTTTTTTTTTTTTTTTTTACTCTTTAAGTGTCCCCTGGCCTATGATCACCAGGAATGTGGGCAGCCACTCATACTTCATGGCTGGCAGAATGGGGACATGGGCAAGGGTGGGAGCAAAGCAGAGCTCTGAGTGGGGGAGCAACTGCCCAGGGCTGTGCTGCACACAGAGGTGAAACACACTGCAGTCAGTGTGGCATCAGGAAACCAGAGCCCACCGGGGGCTGTGAGCCCACTACAGAGGCTGCCCATCACGTGAAGGTCTCTGGGAGCTGTGAAAATGCTCAAGGCAGAAGTGATGGCACTATTGTCCTTGTAGGCATGAGCTTCAACTGCCAGGGGTACATAGACCCCAGAGCGGACAATGTCTCTGCACAAGAGGTACAAGAGCCTCTCACCCAATGTCCAGCTCCCACCTCCTATCTGCAGAGCCTCCCCCCGCTATGGAGGGTACCTGGATACCAATTTCTCAGCCTCTTTCCTAGGAGACATTGTCAATCAAACAGGAGAGCCACCTGGAGCCACAGGACCATCTCGGCACCCTAAGAGAAAGAACCTGGGACTCCTCTCAAAGACGTCAACCTGACTTCCTGGAACATCTGACCAAACTTCACAATTGTGCGCTCTGTCAGCAGGGTGAATACACCACACCAATCCAGAGACACACCTGTGGTGGCCCAGGTAGTGAGCTCACCTCCACAGCCACTGTGGCTCCAGAGGTAGGCATGGCAGGGTGGGCACGGCAGGGTGGGCATGGCAGCAACTGAAGTCTGAGAAGCTCGGGGCTGAGCTACTCTGGTAGCAAAGTCACCCTGGTCCCTGGTGCGTCAAGGAGCAGCAGCTGCCACAAGAAGGGAAGCCCACTGGGTGACAAGCCCTTCTTTATATGGCCAACGTGGCTCTGGAGCAATGGGACAGGCAACAGGCTGGCAAGGTGGCTGTCGCTCCAGAGGGCTCCTGAGCCATGGCCAAGGTGGAATAAATAGCTTTAACTAAAGTCTCAGAATAATTAGGACAATCAGGGACACTCCCCAGGGAGCACTGGCAGTGACCAGCAGGGGAGGAGCTGGCCCTGCAAGGGAGGCCAGGCAGGTGAGCAGGGAGAGCAAAGGCCCAGCCCACAGGACAGGCAGCATGGCCCTCCCTGTGGGCACTGACGTCCAGCCTGGGTCTGCTGACCCTCTCCAAGGTAAGGGAAAGGGTGGGCATGCGCTCTTTGAAAGATGGATTGCAGGGTGACCTGCTCCAGTCTGAATTTCAGTTTTATTTATGCAGAAACCTTGGAAAAAGCAGTCGTGTCTCTGTCTTGCTTTCCTGAACCACAGCATGGGGTGAGAGCTTTTCCTGCTGCCTGTTAGGGTTAGGATTGGATGAGAGAGTGGACTGTGGGTCAGCATAAACTTCTGTGGACAGGTGAGATGCCATTCCCAAACCAATGTGTGCTTTCCTGGGTTGGCACGTCTTGTGCAGCAGGGGTGTCATATCTAAGGCTGAAGATGGCACTGCCTGGGTATCTTCAGGGGCAATTGGCACCCACCTGATCTCAGAGACTTCAGGGTCACTGGACATAACTCAGGGCAGCTGCTTCTTTTTACAGATCGGGAAATGGGGCCAGGACAGTGAAGGAGACCACGGCCCAGTGGCTCACAGGCGGGGGCTCTCCCTCCATGACACACCTGTGTCCCCCTGAAGGCTCCTTTCCCTGCTGTGCCAGGACGACCCAACAGCCAGACACATGCCCTCGTGGCAATCCCTGTCCTCCTGTGGCCCTCCTGGGCTGACCATCTCCCTACAGAACAAGATCATGTTGTGAGTAGCAAAAACCACTCCACACAAATGCTACAGGCACTTGCTGGGGCGAGAGTCCAGGGAAGTGAGAGACCGAGGACCAGAGGGGAATTATGGTGGAGAGCACACTGCTCTCAGATAGATGCAAACCACTGGCCTGAACCCAGTGCAGCTGCACCTCCTCACCTCCCTCTGTCTGCAGGAGGCGACCTGTGGAGATACCTGCCGCCCGTAGCTCTTCTTCTGCCCACCTCTAGGGACCACCGAAGTGCGATGGGTCCATGTGTGCAGATCATGCTGACTTTTAAGGACCAGGGCCTGATGGGCAGACGCAGAGCAGAGAGGTCTCCGAGGAGAGAGAAGCAGGAACCAACAGAAAGCATGACCCATTTAGATTGTGGGAAGGAAGATGCTGTGTAGGAGGGACCCTGAGGGTGCTCCGAGCTGAGTAAATCAGGCCAGCAGGGCAGAGGCTGGTTCTTAGGCAGAAGTCCACCGGGCTGAGGGGCTGGTGGCAGTGCCTGGCCTAATTTGGGGGACCTAGATTGGGGAAAACCCAGGACACCACAACTGTTCCACACAGAACGCCGTGGTATGAAAATGCCTCTCTGTGCTTGCCTCTCCTTCAAGTAGGGCCTCCAGGGCAGAGACCAGGCCTCTTAGAGCATCACCAATGACCACAGCAGCCATTTCCTGTATTCCTTGTGCAGTTCCAACACGCTGCCCTCACGTTGCCTCCTCAGCTCAGGTGTGGGAGGGCGGAGACAGACACGTGTGGGAGGGCGGAGGTGCCTTAGGTTCCTTTCCCACATGGAGCAGAGACCTCAGTGACTGTGGGCTCTGCCCACGGGGAGGGGCAGAAGGAGCGCCGGCTCCTTCCCTGGTTGGGTCGGCTCCTCTGCTCCCCCCACATCCTGCCTGGCATTGGGGCTGGCAGGAGCGTAGGGAGCTCTCACCATGTCCCTGGCATGACTGAGCTGCCAGGGAACCCTGAGCACAGCGTTCCTAAGTGAGTTCCTTCCCCCAGGGGGGGCAGGACATTGTCCTCAATGCCCTGCCTCCCCGGGGGGACAAAGTCCTTGGGACACTGTGGAAGTGAACACAGAGCACTGCCCAGCACAGAGCCCACCTGGAGGCCAGTTCTCCCTGTGCTTCCCCATCTGTGCCAAGGGCACCGATGCTGGCCACGGCCAGTGCTCTCTGCCTTGCCCTTAGAGGCCGCAGCACTCCCAGGCCAGCCATGACAGCAGAGTGGCTCCCCCATGCCAGCCCTGAGAGTGCTGCAGAGGCTCCCTGGGCCTCTGCCCTCTGGTGACAGGCTCTCTGTGCACAGCCAGCCCACGGTGAGGTGCTGAGGCTGCAGTTTGAAGGCCATTCCCATAACTTTTGAGAGAACTGGCAGGTTGGAAATGAGCCGATAGTTCAGATAGATTGTCAGGCAATAAGGAAAGTCATTAGACAGGGAATGTCTGCAGCTGCTTTAACCTGAGCAGGACCTGCCAGGTGTCCAGGGGAGTCAGCCACTGCTGAAGCAGGTCTGTCTTCCCCACGTCCTGAAGGCCACGCGGGCCAGGAGGGCAACCAGAGGTCAGCAGCCCCAACCCCCTGGTTGCTACTGTCTCCTGCGCGGGGCGCCCAAGCCAAGCTGGGAAGGCAGCGGCCCTCCTGTTCTGAGAGCCAGCATCGACAGGGACCAGCAGCTGGCTCGGCAGCTCCAGCCACAGACCAACTGGGGAAGCGGCAAGTCAGAAAGCAGGGACAAGAGCAGGCTCCAGGCTGTTTAGAGGCCATGAGTCCACAAAGCACAGCTGTGGTCAGGTTCGTCCACAAGGGCAGCAGCTGTCCCCAGTGCCCAGGAGGGGAGGAGGAGCTGCCCCGGGAAGCTGGGATTTGGCCGCCTCCCACACCCAGACCTACCTCCAGCTCCTGGGTCCTAGGAGAGCCTCACAGGCAGGGCACGGCCACATGCTCGCATACCCCCCTCACACTGCAAGCAACAGGGTGCCCCCCCCCGTGCTGTAGGAGCCATGAGACACTGTCCAGGACTCAGAAACCACCACAAACACTGACTGGTGACACAGACTTCTGTGCGACAGATGATGTGGCACCTGAGAGGACACACATGGCTGACAAAGGCAGACCCAGCAGCTAAGGTCTTGCTCCCACACTGGGTTCATCCACTCCTCAAGGCTGCTCCAGAGGCCCCTTCTGCATGAAGCTTCACCGCCCACCAGGCCACCTTCATGCAATTCATGGAGCTACAGTGAGCGTAGTGCCCTCGCCACGTTTCCTAGTGGCTGGCTGCCCAGGTAGCCTCCCGGTGATGATGAGCTGGCACGACATCTCACTCACGGCACCCTGTGCCTGGCACAGTTTGCCCATCGTCTGAGGCTGCAGGGGAGTCCTGACCTGACCTCTGCATTCCAGGGAGGCCGAGGGTGCCCAGGGGTCGCCATGTCCACTGGACTCAGCAGTGGGTGGGAGGGTGGGAGCACCAGGAGGGTCTTCACAGCTGCCACACAGCAGGAGCCGCGCAGGGTCCATGGGACAGGGTGCCTCTTCGATGGCCGCAGCAACAAAGCTGAAACTGCAGAGCAGCGTCCACACTGGGAACAGAGGATCATGGGGATGGGCCAGGCCCCCCTACACGCTCAGCAGCCTTGCAGGTGTCGAAGGAGTGGAAGGACAAACCTCTACTGTTCTTGAGGTCAGTGTGACCCACGTCTTGGTCCCCAGGAAAGATGGTGATCTGCACGGTGTCCACGCTGAGGTCCTACATCCCACGACGACCTGTCCTTGTGTGTCCCACCGCCATTTGTGTGGCTCTTGGATCCTCCCAGTCATCTGCGGCTAAGTCCTGTAGTGTCCAATTCTTGTCCTCTCCAGTTTCCTACTCAATTCGATATGCTGCGGAGGGAAGTGTCCTCCCTTCTTCTGCCCTTGCTCCTGGCCATCTGTCTGGCCAACCCACTGGCCTGCACCCAAGTCTACCCTTGTCCCTCAGCCCCACTTGGGATAATGGGAAAGACCAATGCCTCTGTCCTTGGTCCACTTGTGCCTTCAGCCTTGAGACCCATAGGTCTCCTGAGGTGTCCACCTAAAGCCCTGCTGTCCCTCTACTCAAGAACTCCCTCAGGGATGCCAGTGCCCACCCTCCACACTCTGCAGTCTGGCTTCGGGTTCTCGCCTTTCCACCTGATTGCCAGGACACCCCATCCTCAAGTCTGGTCAGTCGGCCCCGTGCACACCCTGCCTCTGAGCAGCAGCTCAAGCCACACTGGAAGGGCCTGGCCTCTGGGGTGGGCTCTGCCTATCCCTGAAGTTTCACTGGAAACCTTCACAAGGATGTCCTCCGGCCATTCCACCCACAGGCAGCTCTTCCTTACAGCTCTGAGGTCAGCACAGACCCAGGAGGGGCACGGTGAGAACAGAGGCCCTGTGGGGCCCTCCTAACTGCCACCTTCAGTGTTCTGTTAGGGCCTAGGAGAGAGATCCCAGCCTCAACTGCCCAGGCCATCTCCATGCTGCTCCAAGCAAGAGCTCTGAGGGTGTCAGGGTGGCTGCGGAGTGCAACATGGGCCTCTCCCCACTCTGGGTGCAACAGCAGGTGGGACTTAACCTCCCAAAAGAGACAAGTTCCCACCTGCTCCTGACAATAAACAGAGACAGGGTCCTCCCACATGCATTCAGCCCCCACTACCACCCATAGTTCCCTGCTGTCCCTCAGTGCTCAGCCCCCACCTCCACCCATAGTTCCCTGCTGTCCCTCAGTGCTCAGCCCC